CTTTGTGTTCACATAATATTATTTTGCAATAAAATTGCGATCATTTTAAAGAATATCTCATGTGCATTGGAGATGATATTAAAGAATATTTGAAAATATTTCATCAATCATAAATATTACGTGAAGGAAAAAGTTCAATATAAAATTTTACAATCACAAACAATATAAAATTTTGTGTTTATTATAAAGTAATTTAATGTGAAACTAACCTTTATTATTATCACAAATAAATTACTGGAATAAATTACACTCAATGTTGATATTTACCTTCCATTACATTATTTTAGTCATGGTCAATAGTCCGCTATTTTATTTTGAAATGTTTATCAAGCTTCCACACAAATATTTATTAGAGAATGACAACTTGAAGAAAAGATAAAATAAAATAAAAAATGTTATTTTTAAAGAAATTTTGTTATCGTAAACTTTTTCATATTTCATCTTAATATTCTACTTAGTTAATAATTTTTTAATAAATGCTAAATAAATATTCTTATACTTATATGTAATTTTATGTTAAAATTACCATAAAAATATAATGGTTGAAGATATAAAATAGTAACAAATAAAACTTATTTTTTAAATATAATAAAAAGATAATTGTGATTTCAAAAAAAAATATATATATATATATATATATATAATAAATTTTAAATATTTTAATTATATAATTTTATATATAATGAATATTCTAACCCATTACATTTATTCAACAAGAGAATCAAACAAATTTTGCACCCTCAAATAACAACCTCGATCGTAATAATAAAGTTTGGGAAAAACAAAATATTTATAGTTATAATTTTCAAAATATTTACATGTAGTTAATTTTCTTGTAACGAATTATTAATCACTCTGTAATAGTTAATTGGTTATATGTACCTTACTTTATTAGTTGAAGATGATATATTTTTTTTAATCTTATTGTAATCAATTTAAATATTTATGACATTTTATATATATTAAAAATAAATATATTATTTTTAAAAAAACTAACTACAGTATTTATTATATAACTTAAAATATTTTTTATAATAAAAATCAAATGGGGTGGTGGCGCAGTTGGCTAGCGCGTAGGTCTCATAGCTATTGAGTGATCCTGAGGTCGAGAGTTCGAGCCTCTCTCACCCCAAATAATTTAAATGGTATTTTTGACTAATACTTTTCAATGGGACAAATTATGAAGCAAAATGGATTAATTATTAAAATTTTACTATATGATTTATTTTTATTTTTTAATTTGTAAAAGTAACATATATTTTACCTAACAAATATCAAGAGAATAAAAAATATATCATATATCTATGAGTATAAAAATTAAAAGTATATTTTTGTCTTAAATTAGCGATTTTTTTAAAATTGTTCTGACTCCGTTTTCATCTGTAAGAAAAATATTAAATTCATATGATAGTAAATAAAGATGTGGTTGGTTAAAGAGTTTTTTAAATTTGCTTCTCACATTGACAACAACATGCACCATGTGGATATTTATATTTCTAATGATGATGGTGAGGAAAATATTAATATTGAATATCCATGTTGAAATTTTAAATCTTCCCTAACAACCTAAAATTAGGGACCTTTGTCTCAGCCTAACCATGATTAAGAACCTAACTAAATATCTACACCTCACGTAACAAATCCATTGCCTTTGGTTTGGATTAAAACTTGTAAAATAAATTTCAGTCTTTTATATATATATATATATATATATATATATATATATATATATATATATATTATGAATTAAATATAAAAAAATGTAGTTTGATTTTAATAAAATTTATATTAAACTAAATTAATGTTTTGTGTTTTGATTTAAATAGAATTTCGTGATATTTTTAAAGAAATTGTTATTTTTTAAAAAAGAAATCATTAAACATTATAAAAGAAAATTCAAATAAAGTTAATGTTATTGATTTTTTATATAATCATTATAATATTTTTATTATTTATAAATAACTTATATAATCTTATAATTAAAATCTATAATACAATTAACTTATAAACATATTTTTAGTTTTATTACTTATAAAATTATATTATAATATAATAAACAGTAAAAATTACATAATTTTAAAATTGATGTTATTGATTCTTGTTATTTTTATAAAAAGATTTTTTTTTTAATTTCTATATATTAATTGCTTTAAACCTTCCATCGCTTTAAACCTTTCATCACTTAAGGTTTCTAATGTTTTATTCCTTAAAAATATTTTTTATTAATTTAGGTGATAACTTTTTTAAAATTATATTATTTTTTATAATTATTTTAATTATTGAATCAAAATATATATATATATATATATATATATATATATATATATATATTTGTATGTTACTGTAGATCATTTATCAAATCAACCTATATAACGTATTTAAAATTTATAAAAAAAATATTTTGCATCCACTTTAACCTTTTAAAAAATTACCATTAAAGTGAATATACTTTATTATAGTCCAAAATATAAATTTCACAGAATATATATATATATATATATATATATATATATATATATATATATATATATATATATATATGTGTGTGTGTGTGTGTTTCAAAAGAGCTGAATCACACATTTTATAATGAATTGATTTGAATAAATTAAAAACTTAAAACTACGCTAAATCTCACAATTTAAAAACCTAAGATAGTGATAATAATAAAAAATATATTATATTAATTTCAAAGTGCTAACAAAAACTAAATAAATGCAGCCATTAAAAGTATTGAAGTGTATCGAAATATTTTATTATTTTCTAAGGAAAATGGTTATAAAATATTATCCACAATATTTACAATGAAATTAATGAAATAATTTTATCTAAAATTGATTATTTTATTATAAGATGGATTAAATAAACTAAAACATATTATCCGTAAAGAGTGAATATTTACATTATTTTATCATAAAGCTCTAAAATTTCTACAATTCAAGAAATTGAAAACTCAAGAAAAAAATAAAATTAAAGTAGACATTAACTGTAAAATTTGCATACAACTTTCGAATTTCTTTAGAATTCAGAGTTTATATATTCTTGTTATGCATATTTGTTTTAGGAGTATATTTTCATTCATAAGTAATGAATACAACAAAAATTATAATTATTTGTGTTTTGTCTAAGAAAGTGTTTGATTTAATATTTTTTATGATAAAATAGTTAGATTAATTATAATATTTAATATATTGTTAATATAAAATTATAATTTATTATCATTTTATCTTTAAAATATATTTTAATAAAAAAATATAAATTATCTTTAATAAAAAATATTTAATAATAAAAATAATATATAATTTATTTTTTTAACTCAACAATAAAAGACTAATAACATAATAAAATAATTTGTATAAATTATTCAACTAAGTTAACCTTCTTAATTAAAAGAGAAGATAAAATTGTCTTTATGTGTTAAAATATTAAGACATGCCCTTAAGTAGGTAGCATGTGATGTGAGTTCCAACGTGAAATGACTTGAGGGGTATCCTCTGTCTTTTTCAGATTGTGTTTGGTTTTAAGACTTTTAATATTTTAATTTTGGTAGTAATTAAAATAAATTATTTTAGTTTAATTTATGTCACTTTTATAATGCGGTTAATTAAGATTGCAAAATACAATTGAGATTCATGCGTCCTCACGAACTACGCATAAAAGATGAAATAATATTAATTTAATTTACATAAATTATTATTATTTAATCTTCACAAAATTTACCGCTATACGCAAAAATCATTTCACGTAAGTTATGTCTACAAAATTATATGATTTTGACATAAACAATTTGATTATATTATTATTATTATTTACTTTTATAATTTTTTACATTTATAATTATAATATATTGTACATTTCACGTCATAGAGGTTTATTTTTGTATAATTAAAATTTATAATAAATAAATATTTGTTGTATGTGTAATTTATTAATCAAACAAGTGGGAGTTCCACCATAATACAACTAATATTCATAAATTTATTAATCCACACACACACACACACCCATATATATATATATATATATATATATATATATATATATATATATATATATAATACAAATTTAAATGAAAATCGCATTTTCTAATATAAGGTTTTTCCTCTATCATTTACAATAAGCAGGTAAAGTATTTAATAAATAAATAAATATAAAATTAAAATTAAAAGTATGTCTAATATTGTTTTAAATTTTGAAACGGACAAATACATTAAAAAAAATCTAATAGAAGTGTATTATTTTTAATATTATTAATATATCCGTATGATAATTATTAATTTCATACATTGTTAACAAAATCTTTTATAAAGAAAACAAGATTTATTAACATTATTAAAAAACCAGTGACTATTTTTCCTCCAAAACATGGCTATTATCTATTCATTTCATTCCATTTCGAGTGTCATGTAATTTCTACCTCTAATTTTTTTTTCAGCCGCAATCATACAATAATATGCACCATAAAATTGGTTACAAATAGTAGCTAAAACAAATAGAGAAATTATTATTAATAAAAAATAAATATAATATTTAAGTTTATAAAATAAATAAAAATATTGAGAAAAAAAATATATAGAAAAAATGGTTGAACAGGTGGTGAATTATTTTTTATTCCATGTAAATTTTAAGAAAATCTAATAACCCAAACCCCTACTAATTGTGAGGCTATGGCAAGTTAAATGGATGAAATAAGTTGATTGTGACTAATTCTCATTCCCACCCTGTGAGTTCAGTTCAGAGACAAAGAGGTGGTGAAGGTCAACCACACTTTCCCTAATGATTATGTCATCCTCCACGTCACTCACACCTTCCATTTTTTTAATTTTATTTTTCAGTAATAAGAATTTTTAAATGTGTAATAATTTCTTGTGTTACAGTGTGCATAATTCACAGGTGTTTAAATGGTAGACATTTGCAGTGACTGAACCATTTATCTTGGTTCATTCAATTCCTCTCTTCACTTCTCATTACCAACTCCTTTCATTCTCTTCAATTCATCCACCATGTTTGCACACTCCACCACTGCATCACCACTCCCTTCACCTTCTTCACTCTTCCCTGACCTCACTGAATTCGAGACCCTCTCCCAACTCAACAACTCTGACACCAATTACTTCAACAATAACAGTAACTGTAGCAGTGGCTATAGCAGTTATGGTGGCTCCCCCACTTCTGCGGCCACTCCCAACTTTATGCAGAGGAGTGTCAGCAGCAATTCCTTCAACTACAACAACAATGCCACCCACCACCCTCTTTCTGCTTTCTTCGCCGAATTGCTCGACTCCCACCATGCTCCTGTTAGGAAAGTTTGCAGCACTGGTGATCTCCAGGTACACCTTCATACATTTTTTTTCATTTCATGCATTCACATGTTGCAGGGATAACACAGTGAAAACCTTGGTTTGTGTAAAAACTCGTTATCAGTTTCTGATAACAAGATGATTTTGTTCATAAGAATGTTTATCACATCTATTTCATACTAAAAATTCGAACTTGATATCACCCACTTAGGTTTCTAACCCCATGCCATCTTTGGTATATATATATATATATATATATCCTGTTACTCTTCACTTCAAACTTCATTTTCAACTTATTAAGGTTATTGTATTTGTATGGTTTGTTTATGAATAGTAAAATTTTGCGAGAGACTTGTTTAACAATCTAATTACGTAACAAGGAGTGGTGAATAGACAAAGCATAACAGTGAATGAAAGGAATTGATTCAATGTATCAAAGAATAGGAGACTATGTGGCTAAGTTCAATTGATTTGATGACTGAGGTGATTATCACTTTAGTAAATATTTTCGATATCAGAATTTTATGTAAGGAGAATCAGGGAGATTCTTCATTTATATTTGCATTAGTTACGTCTAATATTTGTTTTTATAATTTTAAATAACTTGGAACATATGAACACAGAGAATTAATGGAATTCAACATAATCATCACTCGGATAGTCCGTTATCAAGCGAAAGTAGTATGATCATAGAAGGTATGAACAGAGCCTGTAGATATAGCCCAGAGGAGAAGAAGGTGAGAATTGAGAGATACAGAAGCAAGAGGAACCAGAGGAACTTCAACAAGAAAATTAAGGTTCACTATTTATTTAAATGTTTATGCTTACACTCACTATTTTTATTGTATTTATTTACTTATAGTAGCGTTCAACGTTTTACTGTTGTGGAGACAGTTCTACCTGTGCTGCATCAATTAAACTTTTATGCACTGAAATGTATATTCCAAAAGAACCACAAACTTTTAGTAGCTTTCTATGTTTAACTGTTGTGAACAAAGTTCTGTGCTGCATCAACTAAAAATATATATTCCAAAAGGACCACAAATCTACGAACATAGTGGATGATACTGTGTTTTGCTTCATGATCTATGATTAAAAACAAAATCATGTCCAAGATTGAAGTAAAAGTAAGAAGCACAGTTAAAAGATAATCCATTTGACAAAACCATGATTTAGAAAAGAAGTGAGACATTTTCTTTATAACAGGACAAGAATTTGACAATTTGTTCCCCATACTCTCTGCCTGATAGTCCCCTGCTAGCCATACAAAAGATTAAATATTACACGTAAATGTGATTTTAGGTGTGTTTTAGTGCTTCGCAACAGGTCCAGAATTTTGTCAAGTTTGAAAATCTTCCCACGGATTTTGTCTTGTTCTTTAAGGTTACTTAACAGCATCAATCAAACATGAAATTAACCACATACCCTTCATACTATTTAGTTACGAAAAAATTAGGGTGAAAATGCTGACTTATTTTCTCTTGGCATGGAATCAGTATGCTTGCAGAAAAACATTAGCAGACAGCAGGCCACGGATTAGAGGAAGGTTTGCAAGGAATGATGAAATTGACAAGAACAGTGCAATTCAGTGGAGCCAAACCGGTGGAGAGGAAGAGGATGAAGAAGATGAGAATTGGTTCACTGTCTTAGATTCCTTAGTTGCTGCAAATTTTGCTCAGGAGTCTCAAGGAAGTTGTTCCTCCTATGGTCTATTCTATTAGAAAAATTGCATCTTTGATGACCCAGTTGTTTTCGGGTTTGTTTTCCATGTTCAAAGTATTGTGGTGCACTTGATTTAGTTCAGATCAAAGTAGTAATGTAAATATAGTTATCTGAGTCGCCTATGCAATTATTATTAGACTTTTAATCTAGGGTGAAGTTTTTGAGTGCCCTGTAACTTTTTATAGGATTCAGCAGCAATGTATTATTGGATGAAAACTTTGGCAATAGTTGTTGTACTTGTGGTTAAAGTCTACACAATGTATTATCATATCCCTTTTGGTGAAGCACTTGCTTGAAAAGATAACAGATAGTGACCATCACTTGCATTGCACTCTGGGGGGATGTACCTATCACTTTCTTTTTTTACTGTGTTTTAGGTTCACAATTATCCATGGCATTGGAAACTTGTCATACATTTCAAAAATTTAATCATCATTAGTCATCCAAGATTCTATTAATTGAACAAGCTTGAGGATGGGTTAAACACGTTATTGCATTAAAAATAATAATAACAATATGACCATATTATCTCAAAAACTTAAAATTTAAACATATACATTTTTTTAAAATGTATATTTTGCAACTGAATCCCAAATGTTGTTCATCCTTAGCAAGAACAGGAACAAGATTTGAACTGAACCTAGATGGGGCAAGTTGGCATATCTAAATAGATGTTGTTGGGTGTGGTAATGCTCCGAAAAGGAGTAAATAGTCAAAAAGGTTGGAAGCATAACACAGCATAAGGCATAAGCAATGTCCTTTGAAGGTTCCACCTTTTGAATAATGCACTTTTGCTGAAGCAGTCAAGGCAAGGGTCAATATCAATTCCACGTGACATGCTTCGTGCGTTTCGTGGTCAAAGACACAACACATTCATAACATAACTATCTCAATGGGATTCAAGGATTATCATTAACCCACCCACCACCCCAAAAAACAAACTTCAATTCAAATAAAACTTATTCATTTTATTCAAAACCACGTTTTTCATAATTAACAAATCCCCATCAATGAAGAACATACATCTCAGTCAAAGTAATTTAAAGTTCAAATTCAACCCAATGCACAACAACACTAAGAATATGGTAAATATGACTCCCACCCTTTAACATGACAAATATGTAATGTGCAGCTATCTAAGTTTCTATGTTATGGGCATGTTCTAGCATGCAAAAGAAGCAACCTCCCATTTTTCTATTGCTTTGCTTTTGACAGTGTCTGGTTCCTTTTTGGAATATTTAATTTTAACACAAAATTGGGTACTGTTTTCTACTTTTTACTCATCATTACTTAGGAGTTAGGTGGTCATAGATTCTACCTGAACAAGTTGTGAAATTCAGGGTTAATACAATCTTGATAACAAATGTCTTTTGAGTACTGTTTTAAAAAGTAATAATAAAAATATTAATTTTATTAAAAATAAATATGGTCATAACTCTCCATACAATATATTAATCTCACATAATTATTAAAAAAAAAATCAAATATTACACTAACAACAATACACATGCATTAAATTCATAAAAGATTACATCTTTTTAATTCATGTTAAAAAGGGATGATTTTTTTAAGGTAAAAGAGGTTATGAAAATGATGTTGGTGTGAAAGTTGATAAAGGCTAGATGAAAGGTGGGAGAACGGCGGTGTTCATCTTTTTTAGAGCCGGCGGTGTGTTAGCCACTAGGTTAATGCCCACCATTTAATAATATCCATAAATCACAACAAAATTATACCTAAAGTCAAACCCAATTATTGTTACTCTTTATTTTTGTTCCCTCTTTGTTTTTACTTTTTTATTCTTTGGTACATTTGTATCCTCAAACCATTAAAATAATAACTTTGTTTATTTTGCTAATACGATAAATAGTCAAGAATAGTCTCTTCAACATTTCCCTTTAAACACTTATACTCGTACCAATCTTGTCAAGAATTTGGGAGATCAACTTATTAACTTAATTGAAAAAAAAATAATGAAAAAAAAGCTTGAAACTTTACATTCCATTATAAAAAATAAAAGAGTGATATAATTGATAATTATAAATTTAATAATATGATATTTGTTATTTTTAAAATGAAATTTATTCATTAATAAAATTAAACATCAATCATATAAGAAAATATAATATTATTTTTGTTAGAATTTAAATGTGAATAGAAATTGAAGGTTTTATATTAAAGATAAAATTGTAAAGTTATCTTGTCTTGATTAAATTCAGTAAATTTAAAAATTTAAAGAATTAAACCCGTATCATATTATTTAAACTTTCTTATTTATACGAAAATCTTAATAATTGTAATTACTTTTATACACTCTAGTAGACTCTAATGTAAGAGCATTATGCATAGCACATTCCATTAGAAAGGAGTATGGTTGGAGGAAGAAAACCAAAGGGTGGAAGATGAATTATGGGAGGCCCACCTCAAGGGTTCCTTTGAGAAGAAAGAATAAAGAAGTGGATGATAGAGGGATAATGGATGGCATTATAATGAGCTACTGATAGATAGATAGCTATGAAATGAGAGATGGACAACTACAACTACAAGGTTGGAAAAGGGTTTCTTAATTAATGATGATGATGAGTGGAGTTGATTTAGTAAAAAGATCATGTGAGGGGGGCAACTCCAAAATGAAAACAAAACTACTACAACACCGTTTTGCAGTACAAGTGTTGCTTCAGAAATAAAGCCTAGTGGCAATTTATTTTTTAAACTAAGTGTTATTATATTTTAACACTCTCAATTTTATAATAAACAGTAACACTCATGTTCAATATATAAGATTAATACAATAAAATAAAAAAAGTTCACATACTTAATAATAATTTTTACCTGTTCATATATATATATATATATATATAGTAAATACTTTAACATAACACCACATGGCTACCAATATGGATTTGAGGGTGCCCTAGGCCCGACCACTACTTGGAAACTTCTCTCCTTTCACAAGAGGGGTCTCACCATTCATATGCTAAGCCCAACAATTTCATAATAATTATATTTTCCTTTTTCAAGACCTTTTATGAGTTAAAGGTTCCACTTTTCACCAAACTTAACACTTTCTAATCAATATTCAAAGACCGTTTACATATATATTTAATCAACAATTTTATTTTTTTACAATGGTATACTTTGTTCATTGATAATTACGGCCACTATTAGCTTGTATAAATGTAAGAGATAATAGTTTAATAATAAGTATTTATTAACTTTTTTGTATATTTAGAAAACTCGATGGTGAAAATTGTATTTTCTATCCACGTCACTTCAAATATCTTATTTAAAGAAATCAAATTGAATTCCATTTGGATGAAGTTTATTAACAATATGAAAGATGTGAAAGTTTACATGCATGCACATATAATCAATTGCCATTAAGTATCTAATTTGATATATAAAAAAATCATTTTAATTATTAAGTTTAATGTTTTTATAACATATATTAAGTCTATAAAAATCCATATATTTTAACAACAAAAATCATTCCATTAAATGATTAACAACAAAAAAATCATTCCAGTTAAATACACCAGCAAGCAGAAACAGTATCAGCTGCTACTATTAATACTATAGAAATGTAAATAAACATAGCAGAAGCCTGAGAATCATTACTTTCGAAGTAAATAAATCTATAGAGAAAGGCATCACTTGTCTATGGAGAATATAGCATAAAGCAAATAAATTTGTACAATAATCTTTGGGGTATTTAAAAAAATGAGACACAATGAAATTGTAAATATTTCTTCCTTTCCAATTCCAGTCGTCTTTAAACACAATTTTCTTCACACTCTTTTATTTTAATAAATAATAATAGTATAATTGTTATCTAATCACAAACTATCATGGTAAGTTTGCTAACTTTCATTGCAATTATCCTAAAAATCAAACCAGTTATAATTTTTAATTGATAGATATGGTAAAATCGTTTACACTAGTGCATGCCTATTAAACCCTTCTTTTCTTTTTTTTAATCCCGATACAGAAATATAAAATGCAAGTTGACAATCAAGCAGACACTGGTAAATAAATTAGTAATTAATAGATATGAAAACAATTAGCTCAATCTATACAAGTAACAATAATAATCCAGAAAAAAAGAAAATTACTTCAGCTTAGTTCTGCTCTTGCTTTTTTTAACTTTCTTCTTCAAAGTTACTGGATTTAGCAATCTCTTGAAGGGAAATAAAGGTAGACCCCGAAGTGTCCTTCGCTTCAGTTTCAATCTACCTGGAGATAATGAAAATATGGTTGATTATACTTGCATCACAAAACTTCAAATGGAAACAGCAAGTAGATACTATGCACAGACAGGGAAGCTATGAGAAACAACACATTTAGAAAATGAAATGATTAATAATTTAATACTACTCAATCTGCACAAACTTCCAGCAAGGTAAGCACAAAAAATAACAGAGAATGAGTGAGATACCTGATACAGAATGAAGTGAGGCAAATTGATCAGATTCAGTGCTCACTTCACCAAGTGTTTTATCTTTCATTACAACATCTGGATTTAAATGGTTGACAGCTTTGGAATTATCTTCCATTTTCATTTCATCATAAGATGTTAACTGTTGCATCTTCTCATGTTCAACTGCATCATGAAGTTTGTTAAACTGTTTATCCTCCATTGAAGTATCAGAAATATATATTTTTGAATTTTCATTTGACAAAGCTTCATCAATTTTGCCAACTGGTTCATTCAAATTAACATCAGAACTTTTCTCATTATAGTGTTTAGCATGACCCGGTGCAGGAAAAATATCATTTACATCTTGCACAGATCCACACAGTTTTTTATTCTCACAAGGTTTTACAGTATCCAATTTAATGCTTGAGATGTCCATGTTTGATTGTGAATCAAATGCTTTTGCTTCAATCGGGATGAAATCAACATCTGAATCAATAAAACTTCTTTGTTTCAACTTTGTGGCATTTTTCGAACTGTCAATCTCCATAGAATTGAAAGATTTGGAAGTTCCACTCTGTAGTTTCTCCAAATAATCATCACTTTGTTGCAGTGGTTGGGATCTTTCACCTTGCTCAGGACAAACATCAAGCCTATCAGGCTGCACAGCTAAGTCGTTAGGCACAGGTATCCATTGATTTATTTCTTTGACAACAGGCAGGAAATTTACCTTGTCCTCGGGGAAAACAGAGTCAATGGCAATTGGAATGTCTATTTCCTTAAAATTGACAGCATCAGTAGTTCCACTAGTTATATTTTTCTCAAAAACATTATCATGACTCAAAATGTGACTTCTTGTTGTAGCATCTGATCTAGAGTTTTCAACTTGGTCACGACAATTATCAAGACCGTTGGACTGCTCAGTGAAGGTTTTAGGTACAGGTGTTGACTGATTTAGGCTTTTGGCAACAGGTGCGAAGTTTATTATTTTGTCTGAAGTATTGTTTGTAGGTAAGATATTCTTGATTTCAAAGCCATTAGATGGAAGACTGTTGACCACTGAAGTAAAGTCAATGGCTTTTGCAGTTTTTGATGCTTTACAAGAGCCTAAAGAAGATTTTTGTATGTCATTCAACAGGATATCACCTTCACCACTGGAGATAGGATCCCACTGTAGTAACTCCTGATATCGATCTTCCATAGAATGAGATGCTGCATCTGATGATAACACTTCTACTCTTATTGCCTCTTTATAAAATCGTTTCTTCCTTAAAGAATTAGCTAAAAGAATCCTGCAAACCATTCAGAATAATATTTGAGACATCTTACACACTGCCCACCTGTAGACCCAAACACAAAAAGGGATTTTAGCAAATTCCATACCTACAGTTTTTAGAAATAGCTGCATTAGCTCGCTCCTTGGAGAGTCCAAACAATGACAACAAGTTTGCAACATCACACGGTCCTCTGAGCTCATTCACAGTAGGTGCAGCACTTGAAAATACAATTTTTTGTCCCCGTGTCCAGTCCATCAACAACTACAAGTTTAACCACAGTGTAAGACTGGGCATGTCTTGATATTGTTATTGTAATCACATAATAAGGTTGTCAAGACACTTATAATTGTATAAGGGATTAATAGTAGACATGAGCATAGTAGTTGATTCCCTCTAGCCCACAAGAAATTTCTTCACCAACCATGTCCACACTGACTTTTAGATTACACAATCAATCAATAATAATTATTAAGTATATGCTGATTCAATCACGGCCAGAATTTAGAACAAGCTTATCAATCAGTTTATTCTATTTTTGAGTCTTGATTATAAAAACAGAAGCTGCACCCCACACATATATTTCTTCAAAAACACAAACTCTAGAAGTACATAAATTCAATTCAAAACACAATAGCTTTCTTAGTTTTGTAAAACAGAAAACAGAGTTATCATCACCAACTCACCATACTAAAACTGAGAACCATTTTAACAAACACTCAGTGGTCTGGGTTTTAACTCACCATAAAACCATAGCTTTCTTTGGAATATCTAAAGGAGCTAGGGTCTATTAGGAATATTACTTTATTTTCTTTTATTTAAATTAAGTATTAAGATATTTTTATTTAGGTAGAGATATTGTTAATATTTGATATTTTGTTATATTTTTCTCTCTATATAAAATATACTAGTACATGAATGAAATATAAAGATATTCCTGCATGAGATATATTTTATATATCAAGAAATACACATACTCACAAACCCTAAAAATTTTCATCAAGATCTAGATTCAGTAAATAAATATACTCCTTAGTCCCCAACAGTTGAAACTTGACATTTTATTTTCTTCTGCAGATTTACAATGTGAGCATACCAATGTAATACTCTTAGTCCCTAACAGTTGAAACTTTACATTTTTATTTTCTTCTACAGATTTACATTGTGAGCATACCAATGTAATACTCCTTAGTCCCCAACAGTTGAAACTTTACATTTTTATTTTCTTCTACAGATTTACAATGTGAGCATACCAATGTAATAATCCTTAGTCACCAACAGTTGAAACTTGATATTTTTATTTTCTTCAACACATTTACAATGTGAGCATTCCAACATAAGGGGGACATGTGGGTGAATCTAGCGTGAAACCAGGTGTGGAATCTCAAGTTCAAATCCTTTAACTTAAGTAACACTAGAAAGCTTGAGCATGAAGTAATTCTACTACTCAGACACCTTGAAATTTAGTCAAAAAACATATACATATATACAAACATAACTCCAAAAAAATACTTCAGTTATGCAAAACAAAGTAAACAATCAACCACCATATCTAATCTTGCAGTGAATTCAGTTATATAGGGAAGCAAAAATCACCTTGGCACTGGAAATTAACTGTCTCCTTGTTTGAACATCAGCAAAAATACCAGAATACGTGACTTCGAAACAAACCCCGCGCTGCATATCAATAACCCACATGCTTATTTTCACCTTCCTTTTCAGTTATAGGAAAATAAAAGACTAATAATAGTCAAGAACAAACCTGAGTTGCTGCTTTAACCATAGTTTGCTTCAATCTAAAGGGTAACTTAGCTGAGAAATCAATCGAGATAATATCCAGCTGCAAATGTTTTCAACATCAGAGTTCAAAATTTGGAGTTGGCCTTCTGTCAACATGAAGAATTTTTTTCTTCTTATAAAACATAACTTATATGAACCGATTATCTAAAACCTGAGACTGTACTCTACGAATCAGTAAAAGCATTCTGAAACCATCAAAACAATACATAAACATTGAAAGCATTGAAAGCAAGGCCTTTATTAGAAAGGAAATTAAAGACGAATAAAAATAGAGAAAAGGAAGCACCAAACATGTATGCTAACCGGGTTTAAAGAAGATACAATTCATAAACTGCCCTTACTTTCAAAATCTCAATACCGACGCAATGTGGGACTGCAAACAACTTTTAGTAATGAAGGGTATAGATGAGACACAACGAACCTCCATGGTCTGACACGCAAGATCAAACGCGGTCTGGTTCAAGGGCTTAACAGCGACGAGATCGTAGGTCTTCAAAATGGGGTTCCCCGAATTGAGGGCCTGGGCCTGGGCAGGGCTCTCGACGCAAACGGTGAGTCGCGTGTACTGACGGAAGGGAGTGGAGAGTGGGATTCCGAGGAGGGAGCGATGAAGATTAGCGGAGAGGGAGAGCGAGGGAAGAACGTTGAGGAGAGAGGAGAGGCTAAGAAGGGAGATGGAGCAACGGTGCTGATCGGACATGACGCCCTTGATCGTGCGGTTGTAAGCGATTCCGGTGTAACCCAACTCCATGGCCTTCACCACGAGCCTAGTGCGGTTGCTTTGTTCGGTGGCCTTGTTGGTGGTTGAAGGTTGCGGACAGGGAATGTTGAGGTCGAAGTAACCCATGGTTGTTGTCGGCGATGCTGACACGGGGTTTATGAAACAAAGAGGGTTTTGTTCTGCGACCCTAATATAGGATTTTTATTTCCAGTGTTTTGAAATTATATTTGTTTTTATTTTCTTTTTCCTTTTTATACGGAAAGATATAACATATTCGTTCCTTCCAATTCAATATTCATTACTTTCCTTTGAAAGATTTCATCAATAATTTATTTAAACTCATCTTATCTTTTATCTGTCTGTGAGATTGATATGGAATATTTACAAAATATAAGATCATTTTAGTTTGTAAACTCTATCAGAAATTTACAAGAGTAATGTAAGTGATGTTCTTGAAAGAAAAAACTCCCGTTTGATTTTTTTTTTATTTCTCTTTTAAAATAAATATATTTTCATTTTATTCACATATTCACCTAAATTAATATAAATATTAAATCAACACGAAAAATATAATAATAGATGTGAATAAATTTTTATATTTTAAAACTTTTTTATATCTTAAAATGTTGGCAAATTAAACAAATACTAGTGGAATTTCTACTAATTACGAAGGCTTGATTCTGCGGTTCTTTTAGAAAAAATTGTATTATTTTTAATGGCCTTTTTACATTCTTCGTATCCGAGAGAGGAAAATCTTGTATCTTTCATTTAGTAAGTTGGACCATAATTATATTAATTATTTTAATAAATAAAGGAATAAAAATATTATTTTTAATTTAAAATACTTTTTTTATTTAAAAATACTACAAAACAAAATTATTTTCATTAATTTAATTCTATTTCATTTTATTCAATTTCATGAAAAAAAACCTAAATAATTATTTTGAATTCCACTCAAACTATATATCTCATTAATAATTTTGAATACATATTCTTAAAATCACAACATAATGCACACATTCACTCCCACGAATAATCACACAGTATACCATTGGGTCTTTTAAAGAAGATTCACATAAGAAAAACCCTAAACCTTAAGTTTTAGGATATATGAACATTTTTGTCTTAAATTTATCAATTTTACTTTAGATATCTTTTGTCACAAGTAAATCATCTACATGGAGGTATATGATGAAAATACTTCTACGTTGTATTTCTTTCACATATACACCAAACTCAACAATACTTTCACAAAATCCTGTTTATATGAAAAAGTATCAATTAACTTGTTTCAAGTTCGAGGAGTTTGTTTAATGTCATATAGATCCTTTCTCAATCTATACACCTATTGTTTCTTCTATTTCCTCTCAATACTTGGTGGTTGCAACACATACACCTCTTTTCTCAGGGGGCCCATTGAGAAATGCAAACTAGACAACAAGTTGACATATAGTCAAATTTCTCCAACTAGTAATAACAATAACTAATTTCACAATTTCAAGTCTTGCAACAGGAGCAAAAACATGTGTAATCAAATCCTTATTTCTGCCAAAATCCTTTGGGCACCAGCTTGACTCTATGTTCAACAATTAGGCCATTAGGTATGTTTTTAAGTTTAAACACCCATTTTACATCAATAGGATGTTTGTTTTGAGGGTGATCTATATACACCCGAGTTCTGTTATTCTTTATTGCTTTTAACTCTTCCATCATAACCTCTCTCCATTCTCTAATGTACATAATTTGCTTTAATTTTGTTGATTCAGAATCAACAAGAAACACAAAGTGCACCAGATTTCCATTATCATAAACAATTTGTTCATTAAACAACTCATGATCATCAAGTATAGTAAATGAAAATCTAACTCTTTGAGATCTTCTAACAATAGATAATTCAATGATATTGTTCCCAATAATTTTATCCTTTTCCTTTAGGGAACACGGGATATGATGAGGGGAAGTTTTACTCTCCAAATTTCATGATGCAGCTTCATCCACAATTACATCCCTATAGTTGAGCACTTGTTTTTTTGGATTATATAACTTATAAACACTAGTTGGATGATATCCAACTAATATAAGAGTTTTACTTTTATCATCCAATTTCCTCCTCTTCTTATCAAGAATATGATTGTAACATCAAGATCCAAAGATGCTGAAATTATGCACCATTGGTTTATCCCTGGACCAGGCTTTTTTGGGCATGACAAATTTGAGCCTCTTTGTAGGATATCCATTGAGGACAAAAGCAGTAATAGTTACTACTTCACCCCAAAAACGATGTGGTTTGAGTATACATCTACTCATACCTAATAGTGTTCTATTTCTTCTCTCAGCTGAACCATTGTGTTGAGGCATATAAGGAGATATTGTTGGAAAATTAATAATTATAATCCTGATTTTGATTCTAACTATCAAATATAAATGTAATCCCATACTGATAAACATGTTGTAAACTGAATGCGAAAGCGTATCTGAATTAGTCATAATGATGATGTCTTTGTAGAGCACTATATTGATCTTATAGTCTTCTACTTGAAGAGCACCTGTATTTTCCTCTTGATTTTATCTCTTGATGGGGATAGAAAGAAAGGAATGAGAGTGAAACTTATGTTCTGTCTACGTGCTCCCAGAAGGGGACCATGACCCCTTAAAATAACCAGAATTAGGTTAATTATTTAAGTTTTAGTATTTCTAATTTGATCCCTCATCAAATTAGAAATTTCTCTATGATCTCTACACAAATTTATTTTCATGACATATGTCTTTAGCCAAACTTTTTAATTTATTCATGTCACTTTATTATTTGACTTAATAAATAATGACCCTAATACATTTAAATTATGTATCATATATATCGTGACCCAAATTTTGCCAACAATCTCCCACTGGTCACAAATATATATGTCCTTACAACCTTACAAATGTGTTAGACTTTATAAGCTCAAGATTGCTATTATATTTCTTTAACATACTCCAAAAGTTTTGTCCATCAATCATATCAGGATATAGAATCAAACCGACTTTTCATTTCATCATCGCAATTAAAACCAACAATGATTACTCATCTTGACATAACCAAATGACATGGATTCATCATGAAACGTGTAGCATGAAAAATTACGTGAAGGTGATCTGTACACGTCTATTTTCAACTAGTCCAAACTTTAACTTATCGAGATCGATATAATAACCTTAATGTATAAAGTGTAATGAATGAATGATAAACCGTATATCTATAGATAACCAAATATGTCCAAAAAAATAATAATTAATGTATACATACATGAAATTAAACATAGAACATAAAATATATGAAAGTGACTAACTCCCACTAAACCACAAATTCCTCAAACTATAAAACACTCATGTGAGCAACATGCTCATGAAAGACCTTGGGCGGAAGTCCTTTAGTTAGAGGATATGTTATCATGGAGGTTGTCCCTAATTGTTCTATGGGAATCTGTCCACTCTGTACTCTTTCCTTAACAATACAACTGATTTGTTGTCATAATATAACTTAAGTGGTATTTCAATGTCTTTCACAATTTGCAGCCCTGTGACAAAATTTCCCAGCCATATTCCATGATTTAATGTTTCATAGCATGCTACAAATTTTGCTGCCATGGTGGATGAAGCTGTAAGGGTTTGTTTGACACTGCACCAAGAAACCGTAGCACCTGACAACATGAAAATACAACCTGAAGTGGATTTCAAACTATCTTGACATCCTACAAAGTCCAAGTTAGAAAACCCAACGATCTCAAACTAGTCTGACCTCTTGTATGTGAGCATATAATCTTTTGTTCTCTTTAAATATCTCATGACCCTTTTTGCTGCTTTCCAATGGTCCATTCCTGGATTGCTTAAATATCTGTCTAGAACCCCAACTATTTATGTTATGTCTGGACGTGTACATATTTGGGCATATATCAAACTCCCTATAGCTGATGCATAGGGAATCTTTTGCATTTCCTTAATTTTCAAATTCCCCTTTGGGCATTGATTGAGACTAAACTTGTGATACACACAATCATCAACAATATTCATCTCGAAGCCAAATGAGAGAATTACTTGATGAAATTTGTAATACCATTGACGAGATGATTGTTTTAGTCCATAAATGGATTTTGTCAGTTTGCAAACCATATTCTTTGAATCTCCCTGCACAAAAGTTTCTGATTGTACCATATAAATCGTCTCATCAATGTTGTCATTGAGAAACGTCGTCTTGACATCCATTTGATGAAGCTCCAAATCATAATATACTACAAGAGTCATGATTATCCTAAAAGAGTCTTTCGATGAAACTGGAGAGAAAGTGACTTCAAAGTCAATCCTTTCCTTTTGGATATAGTCCTTAGCTACCAGACGAGCCTTATACCTTTCCACATTACCTTTAGAATCTCGTTTGGTCTTAAATATCCACTTGCAACCAATGAGTTTCATACCTTCTGGTAATGGGACAAGTTCCCAAATCTTATTGTCTTGCATGGACTTATACTCCTCCTTTATTGCTTCAATCCACTTTTAAGAGTTAGAACCTTGCATAGCTTGACGAAAGTTAACTGAGTCATCTTCCATTATATCATTGTTTTCCTCATGTTCCTGAAGAAATACTATGTAATCATCCAAAATAACACTTCTTCTTTCTCTAGTGAATCTCTGCAAAGTTATTGACTCATGATGCACAGGTTCTTGAGGATATTGAGTTTGTTCTTCATGAACAACCAAATCATCTTGAGTAAGGGGTTCATTAACAATGTCTTGTTGAGGTTTCGAACTTACTTTATCAAAAGTAACTGTTTGAATCGATTCTAGAATTGTTACCGATTCTTCCCCCAAGACAAAGTTCCTAATTCTATTCTTCCTCCAAACTCAATATCCTCAAAGAACGTAGCGGTTCCCGTCTCAAAAATTGTCTTTAATGTGGGATCATAAAATTTATATCCCCTTGGATCTTTCAGCATAACCAATAAAATAACTACTTACTGTTCGGGAGTCCAATTTCTTTTCATTTGGCTTATAAGGCCTTGCCTCAGTTGGATAACCCCACACATGGAAATGTTTCAGACTAGGTTGTTGCCCAATCCAAAGCTCATAAGGTATTTTGATAGCTGCTTTAG